ACAGCTCTGCCCGCCTCCATTAGCTCGAGAAGTTATTAAATTCGCGCGGACTTGGCCCTCGAGGTTCGCGAGGGCGTCTCGGGGGAGGGCCCTGCCGGGGCACGCCCGGCGGGCCCTGGCGGCCCGGAAATGGCCCCTGGGGGCGCGACGGGGCCCGACCTCCTCGCGCGCCGGGGGTCGACACTGCGAGGGTGTCTCGCGCGAGGGCCCTGCTGGGAATCGCGCTGTGGCCCTTGCGCCTGGCCAGGCCTCCAGCGGCCTGCTGGGGCGATGCGGGCAGCGCCCTGAGCTTCCAGAGTTGAGGGCAATCGTATGCGTGACCTATCGACCGATCTCGACGGTTGAAAAACTCGACTGGGCATTGGATATCTAGGTCCAGCTGGCATCTTTCAGCCTTCCTGGAAGGTCAGGGTTTGCGCCCCGATCCAGTTCGGACGGCCTTGTGGCCTGGCGCTTTCCTGACCGAGCCCGGCAAGTGCTGGCGTCGTCGGGGGGGGGGGGGGGGGGCGCGCCCCGGGCAGGCTGGAAGCTACTTGCGCGTTGAGGGGGGGGGGGGCTCCGCGCCGACGAAGGTGCAGGCGGAATGGCTTGAGAATCGAAAAAACCAGCAGAATTGCCGACCATAGATAGCTACATTCAGGACGCGCCGACCACGGGGCAGCAACGCGTGCGGCACCAACCATCGACAACCGACTCGCAACATGCATGATGGCGCACGGGCAAACGCAAGCGCATGCACAAAACATAAGGGCAACGGCAAAGACAAGCAACATGCAATATACACGCCTACAAGCAACGTGCACATGTGAGCGAGTGCAAGCGCATGCGATCAAAACGCATCGGGGAACCATTAAACATCATTTTGCGTCCACATTGGAAACCCATCGAGAAAACAATGTAACGCCATTGGGGGCCCATTTGCAATCCATTGGGACACCATTCGGAGACCATTGAGAACTATTCGGGAAACGATTGGAAAAAAAACCACCCTGGTGGACAACAGGGGGAAAAACGTACGGAAGCTTCATCGCGCAATGGCGAACTGTGCGGGGGGGGGGGCGCTCCGAATCAACTTTTCGCTAAACAACTCCAGATCCTATCGATTTGATGCCCCAGCGGCCCCTTGCACTTGCGCCTCGGGGGGGGGACAGGAATTGCGCAAGTCGAACAACACCTGCGTGGTAGTACTTGTGTGCAGAGGAGTGAGGGGGGGGAAATCGCCATGGAAGTACACTTGCCTGAATCCACAGAAAAACGTCTCACATGACGCACCCCCTCTTGAAATCTCGATCGTCCGACTTCCTCCTCCTCCTCCTCTTTCTCCTCCCTCTCCTCCTCCTCCTCCTCCTCCCTGTCCCGCCTCCTTCCGCCTGGCGGGCTGCCAGAGCTTATGTGGTTGCCTTCGGCCCCCGCAGCACCCGCACCTCCCAGGCGCTCACCCCTCTGGGCACGGGTGCCCCTCCCCGCCCAGCAGCGTGCGGATTCTCGCTGTCGAGGGCCCGTCGATGGTCTGCCCCGGCGATGCAGCGCCGATTCCAGGTCAGCGCCCCCCCCCCCCCCCCCCTCCAGAGCACAGAGGGGGACAAGGTACCCCTACCCCTGCCCCTTTCCAGCTGTTCGGCCTCCCGGGAGGCCCTCGTCGCCACCGCTCGATGCGCCTCGGAGTTTCGGTCAGAACGCACCCCGCGGGGAAGGTCCGGGGAGCCACGGTACCGGTACCCTTTGGTCCCCCCCGAGCCAGTCTTCCCCTTTGTCGTCCTCAGCCGTTTGAGCCCCCACGGCGGACCTCATGCTTCGATAACCGGAGGGCCTCCCTTCTGTTCGAAGGCGGGCCGAGCATCCATCCCGTGCCCACCCGTACGACCAGATCCCGGGGATTGACCGTTCACCCCGATCGTCTTGTCGATGGTCCCGGGATCCGAAAGCGGCTCCCCCGGACAAGATATGGACAACGTGTATCCCTCCGCCGGCCAGGTGGCGTCACCGTGGCGAGTGTCAGCAACTGACGCGAGCCACCGCACGAGTTCCCTTTGGCGTTGCCTTTGGTGGACTGAACAGGTCTGCGCGCACGGAAAAAAAACGCAATCCAGTGCGTGGACATGCGGGGCCTGGAAACGTGCTGAGGTGAAGGATTTGGACAAGCACACATTTTGTCGGTCTTCTGGGAAGGAGGAGGAGGAGGCGGAGGAGGAGGAGGAGCAGGAGGAGGAAGAGATTCAGACTTAGACATCTCTTGGCCTAGACAAGGGGGGTTATCCGACCGTTGAAGTCGCTGGGCTGCATACCTGTGTGGCTCCAACTGAGTTTTCACGCTGGCACTGGTGGGGAAATCACACGGGCCCCTCAACCCAAGAGGTACGAGCACAGGGTGAGGAGGTGGCGCCCATCTACCTTACCAGAGAGGGGGTGCAGATAATGGAGGAGGAGTAGAAGAAGGAGGAGGAGGATAGGGAAGATGAGAGGAGGAGGGGAGGAGGAGGAGGAGAGGAGGAGGAGGAGGAGGAGGAGGAGTGTATGAGGAGAGGAGAGGAGGAGGAGGAGGAGGAGGAGGAGGAGGAGGAGGAGGAGAGGAGGGAGGAGGAGGAGAAGAGGAGGAGGAGGAGGAGGAGGAGGAGGAGGAGGAAGAGCGGCAGCAGGCCCTTTCCCCCTCCCCCCCCCACCACATCGGCGCCAGGCTCCACAGCGAGCCCTCGACTCTGGCGGTGGGGCGCCAGCCGTCGAACAAGGCATTCGCACCCTGCGCCGCCTCGCCCCCCCCGTTTCCCGTCACCGCTCGTCTGGACGAGGCGAGAAGGAGGAGGAGGAGGAGGAGGAAGAGGAAGAGGAGGAGGAGGAGGAGGAGGAGGAGGAGGAAGAGGAGGAGGAGGAGGAGGAGGATAGGGAGGAGGATCAGGGCGAGGTAGGAGGAGGAGGATCAGGACGAGGTAGGATGAGGAGGGCGAGGGATGAGGAGGGCGAGGGAGGAGGAGGAGGAGGAGGAGGAGGAGGACGAGGATAGGGAGGACAGGGAGGATAGGGAGGAGGTAGGAGGAGGACAGGACGAGGTAGGAGGAACAAGCGGGCGAGGTAGGAGGAGGAGGAGGAGGAGGAGGAGGACGGCGAGGTAGGAGGAGGAATAGGAGGAGGAGGAGGAGGAGGAGGAAGAGGAGGAGGAGGAGGAGGGCGAGGATGAGGAGGGGGAGGAGGAGGAGAACGACGACGACGACGCCGATAAAGAAGAACTCGACGACGACGCCGAAGGCGCAGGCCGTCGATCAGGAGCAGGAGGACTTGAACATCTTCGTCTTGTCCGTCCTTGCTCGTCATGTCCCTCTACGGGGGGGAATATTCAAAACAGTAGTCCTGAACTGGTTTGGGGACGTTTTTGCTTTGAGTATGACTGGTTTGCTTTCGCACGTTTTGATTACGTTCGTTTGTTCGTCCCCAGGACGCCTGTAGGAGGACGTCCCCAACCTGATCCCAGGCTTTTGACACGCTTGTGTGGGCAATGCTTGTCATGTCCCGCTACAGGGGGAATATTCACAGCAATAGTCCAGAACTGGTTTGGGGGTTATTTTGTTCTGACTATTGCTGGTTTGCTTTCGCACGTGTTGGCTATGTTCGGTTGTTCGTCCAGAGGACCCCTTTAGGAGGACATCCCCGACCTGATCCCAGGTTTCCGACACGCTTTGTTCGGGAAGTGCCTCTGTCCATGTCCATTGCAGCTTGCAGTATACAGTGCCGTTTTTAATACATGCTCCGCATGCGGATCATGCATTAAACATGCAGGGATGTAGTACAAAAACAACGATGAGTTCATGCATAAAGTCATCCATAAGTTAATCATGAATTAGAACTCCTGTTTACAACAAATCATATGTATTAAGAACTGCCCTGTAGGGATCCCTTCTCCAGAAGCCCAGGGCGCGTTGGATGTTGATTGCAATTGTTCTGCGCTCTCGGCTCCCCCGTGGCCGTCCTCGGGCCCCAGGGCCATGAAAACTCTGGAGGGAGGGAGGGAGGGCGGGAGGGAGGGAGGGAGGAGGAGGAGGAGAAGGAGGAAGAGGAGGAGGAGGAGGAGGAGGAGGCGGAGGAGGTGGTGGAGGAGGAGGAGGAGGAGGAGGAGAAGGAGTAGGTGGAGGAGGAGGAGGAGAAGGAGGAGGACGAGGAGGGAGGGAGGGAGGGAGTGAGGGAGGATTCGGGTAGGGGCATCCGCGGGGATCCCGGGGCCGCGCACGGGGAAAAAAGGTCGTGCAGGGCGGGGGGTCCGTGCCGAGAGAGGCAGCCCGCCTGCCTCGAGGGCGCCCCCGGGATTTCCCGGGTCCCGCGATGACTCAGCCGTGGAGGGCGTGGCGCGCCCGCACCGAACATCAATGGTCGGAATTGCAGAGATCCCCGATTCATCTTGGTGCAAATTTGGCGCGCCTGGCTTCGTCTTATCGGAGGTGGATAGACCTCCTGCCCTGACGCGTCGATTAAGGAATTGGCCGTTTTCGGTTCGCACGAACGAGATGGGTACGGAAGGCTTGGGTACAAAGCCCACCAGCAGTTCCTCTTAATTCTTTACGCTTCGCGTATCCCCACCAGCCCATCTCACAGCAGCAACTCTTGCGAAGCATGCCGACAGTCGTGTTTTTCAGGCGTGTGTCCGCTTGGCCCCGCATATCTCCCCTGTTCCTCCTTCCTCCCGCCTCCTTGTACATCCTCCTTGTGGGGGGAGCGGGAGAAGGACGAGGCGGAGGAGGAGGGAGAGAAAGCGCTCCTCGTGATTTGAGTCGTTTGGGGTTTCTCGTCCTGGTGTGAGTCGTTCGGGCCCTTCTTCCTGGTGTGAGTCGTTCGGGCTCTTCGTGGTGTGAGTCGTTCGGGCTCTTCGTCCTGGTGTGAGTCGTTCGGGCTTCTCGTGGTGTGAGTTGTTCGGGCCCCTCATCCTGGTGTGAGTCGTTCGGGCCCCTCCTCCTGGTGTGACTCGTTCGGGCTCCTCGTGGTGTGAGTCGTTCGGGGCCCGCGTCGTGGTGTGAGTCGTTCGGGCTCCTCGTGGTGTGAGTCGTTCGGGCGCCTCGTCCTGATGTGAGTCGTTCGGGCCCCTCCTTGTGGTGTGAGTCGTTCGGGCTCTTCGTGGTGTGAGTCGTTCGGGCCCCTCGTCCTGGTGTGAGTCGTTCGGGCTCCTCGTGGGGCTTCTTGGGGGCCTCTTGGAGCCTCTTGGGGCCTCTTGGGGGCCTCTTGGGGGCCTCTTGGGGGCCTATTGGGGCCTCTTGGGGCCTCTGGGGGGCCTCCTGGGGGCCTCTTGGCGGCCTCTTGGGACCGCTGGGGCGCCTCTGGGGGGCCTCTTGGAGGCCTCTTGGGAGCCTCCTGGGAGCCTCTGGAGGCCATCTTGGGGCCTCTTGCGACCTCCTCGGAAGCGCCAATGAGAGCTGCCCCCTGAAAAGAACAAAATGAGCCCAAAACCTTCGTAAAAAACAATGAGTTTATGAAGGCGATGAGCGCGGCCCCCTCAGAGCGCCAAAATGAGGCCAAAACCGTAGTAAAATCAATGATTTTGGCTTTCAAGAAGAGCAGAGGGGCCAAAGTGGTTCCCCCCGTCGGGGCCAGAATCCTCGTGAGGGTCGTCGTTTTTTGGCCCTTCCAGGAGTCAAAAAAGACCCCCCTGACCACGCTCGGCCCGCCCTCTCCAGGTCCAGGGGGAGGGGGTAGGGGGAGGGGTAAACCCATCCCCGGAGGGGAAGAAGGGGGGTTGAGGACAGAGCGGGCTCTCTAAACCACTCACGCCCAAAGGGCTGGTGGGATTTTGAGCAGGACTCGCTGTCCGCGCCGCCGCGGCCTGTGTCCATGCGAGACAGGAGGCCGCCTGCCCAACAGCGGCCGCTGTTGGTTTGGGACAACATTTGTTGTTGGGCATTGTACCACTTCTCTCCGTTCCCAGTTCGGGCGTCCAAATCAATGGTCGGAGGTGGATAGACCTCCTACCCTGACACGTCGATTAAGGAATTGGCCGTGTTCGGTTCGCGAGAGGGCGTCGCGGTCGTCATTTCTGCGGGTGCAGGTCCGTCGGTTTCGGTCCGAGGCCGTTTTCCCTAATGGGAGGTTTACTAAAGGGAGGTTTGTCCACCGCCGAAATGGACGTCCTGGGGTCTCCGGGGTGGGTTCCCCGTGGCTGGTTTCTTGTGGACTGGCCTCCACTGTAGCGTCGGATGTCTGGGGTTGCGGCGGCCGTATTTGCTGGGAGGAGGAGGCGGAGGCGGAGGCGGAGGCGGAGGAGGAGGAGGAGAAGGAGGAGGAGGAGGAGGCGGAGGAGGAGGAGGCGGGGGAGGAGGCCAGCCTTCGGCTTCTGGGAGCCTCGGACACCGACGCGAGCCGTTCTTTTGTCTGAGGGGGCCCAAGAAGGGGAGCCGAGCCAGCCCTTGGGGATCCACGTTATGCAAGGACTCAAGGAACGCCCCTACCCTGGTTTACGAGGCGCTGTGCGCTGAACTTCCTGTGGGCTGACAGGATACACTCTACGTATCGCGCGTGTCGCGCGGCTTGCTGGCGGCTCTCTGGCTTTTGGGAGCTCGCAGGAGGTTTACAGACCACGCACTTGTAACCCAGGGTAGGGGCGTTTTGTTCATTCCTCAAATATGGAACAGAAACAAAATGTCGGACCTCTGTCGAAGAAGAAGAAGAAGAAACGGCTTAAACATAAACTTTTGGCGTTCCGCGCTGATTTCTTGGCGCCGAAGGGCACAGCGCGGATCCAAGAAGTTCCGCGCGGAGCGCCAACAGTTTTTGGTCATGCCGTTTTTTCTTCTTCTATTCTGGGTTCCTCGCATGGCGGCCCTTCTCCGAACTTCGCGCTCCGGTTTGGATCGCGAGCGCGCCCTGCCTCCGTTGTCGGCGTCGGCGCGGCCGTGGTCGTGGTGCGGGTCCGTCACCGCACGTGAGATGCTCAATGCTTTGAGCGTGCCCCCTCCCTCTCCCCCTCTCCTTCCTCGACGACAATCACCATCATCACCCTGTCAGCTTTCCAACCCCGTGCACCTTCCCCGTTGTCTGTCAGCTACGCGCAGGGGGGGGAGGGCAAGGGGGGAAGGCTCCTCAGAAGCGCCCCCGCTTCTTAGAAGGCGCGGGCCTCATCTATAGATGAAGTGCGGGCGCCTTCTAAGAAGCAGCCTCCATCAAGGAGGGCTCCCCCCTCCCCCCTACACCGTTGTGCGCTCCGCCAACCATCCCCTGTCGTCTGCTCGTCTCCCGCAATTCTTCTTGCTGGTTCCTCCCTCCTCCGCCTCGCTTGCTCGCAGACCACAGGGTTCCCCTCCGAATCGCACGCCCCGTGCAAGCGCAGACGTGGCCGGGCAGTGCCTAGTATCTCTGGCCCCCGCCGCTCCCAGAACACCTTAAGATCAACCCCTTTGTAACACTTACCCTCCCCAAATCCTTTTGTACACCCTTGGATGGCATACCACCGCTGAGAACTTTCACAACGTCTTCCCTCCCCTCCGACTCGTTCAGACTCCATCCCTTTTCTGTCTGTTCCAACGGCCACGACGGCGACCACAATTTTCACGACGATCGCGCGGCTTCGACGACAACGACCAAGATGACGGCGGCGGCCACGACAACCACAACCACGATTTCAGTGACCACGACAGGGACCACGTCGACGACCATGACGACCACTGCTTCGACGACCGCGACGACCGCCGCGATTTCGACGACGACGACGAAGGCGACGGCGACGGCGACGATGCTGGCGACGACAGCAGCGGTGGCGCCTCCTGACATTCGCGGATATGTTTTTAAAATCCGCGGCCCACGCCGGGATCGAGGGCATCGATGGACGTTTGCTCCGAGGGCCGGATTTGAGGAACAGACGCGGGTTGGAAAACCCACGTCGTCGGAGATTTGGGACGACGACGGCCCCTTCAGCGCCCCGCCCCCCCCCCCGTGGAGGTGGCCGCTGGCCGCATGCCGTCGTTCCGGCCGTCGTACCAGCCGGGCGAAGGCGAGCCGGCCGCGAAGTTGGCCGTGGCCAGCAAGCTCGAGAAGGACGCGGGCTGCGACGGCTCAGATCGGGGGCGACAGGAGGTGGGGATGGGCTCAGGAGGGGGGGATGATGGGCAGCGTTCGGGGAGGGCAGAGGCTCAGAGGGGAAGGCGTTTTCGGGCGCTCTCGTCGGTTCTCGGTGGGTTTCTGGTCTCGGGGTGCTCTCCAGCAGCTGCGCCTTGCCGAGAGCGTTTCGGGGGAGCCGGAATCGTCCCGGCCCGAAAGCCACCAGGGACGGGGGATAGGCTCAGTGGGGATGGGTCGGCACCCAATCGAGCAGGATCAGGTGCAGGAAGGGAAGGGGGAGGTCAAGGGAGGCAGAAGGGGTGGAGGACCCCCACTCTTCCCCTCCTGCTCCCTTTCCTCTCCGAGTGCCATCGGGACGACCGTCCCTGATCGTGGTGGCTCCCCGCACCGTCCCCCAACGCCCCATCCCGCGGGAAGACACGCGGATGCCTGCACGCTGCTCACGGGACCGAGACATCAGATCTCATGCGCGTCCAGACGCGAATCACGACGGCCAGGACGACGATGATTGGCGGCGGCGACGGCCCCGACCGCGACGGCGACGACGACGGCGACCATTGCGATGGCGACGACGTTGCCGACGATGGCGACGACGTTGCCGACGTTGCCGACGACGACGACGACGACGACGACGACGACGACAACGACGACGACGACGACGACGACGACGACGACGGCGGCGACGGCGACGGCGACGGCGGCGACGACGACGGCGACGGCGGCGACGGCGGCGGCGGCGACGGCGACGGCCACGGCGTCAGCGACGGCGATGGCGACGGCGACGGCGACAACGACGACGACGACGAAAACAACGACGGAGCCGTTGGCGGCGGTGCTGGCGCCGGTGGACCCGTAGATCGGAGGAGGACTAGGACAGATCCACCTCGCCTCTCTCCCCTCCGTCCTCCCAGAGGAGGAGGATGGGGGGGGAAGGAGTCGGGTGGGCCCAGAGCCTTGATAGAGCATCCCAGAGGGCTCAGGGATGCTCGCAGAGCGCTCCCGAGCGCTCACGATCGGCCGCGTGGCCCGAGGCATCTTCCAGGACCGCCGGATCTCAGAGGTCTCCGATTCGCCCCAGTCCGGCTTTGCCCCAGTCCTAGCTTCCTGGTCTCCTTAGCATCGCTCAGAGGTGTGCAGTTTTCTGGGCGAGGACCATCGAGGAGCGTCCTGGATCATGTCAGAGAGAGACAAGGACGCACGAGACCGAGAGATGCACGGGGAATGGACGTCCGAGCGATGGCAAGTCTCCCGGTGGAGGAGCAAAACCTCCTGGAGCTGGACTTCGGTTTCAAGCCGATCGAGGCACGCGGCGGCGGTGGCGCGGCGCGGCGCGATCTCGGGAGGGGGCGCGCGCCGCTGGAGGCGGCGCGCGACGCGGGATCAGGAGGAGGACAATCACCCGGCAGGATCCCTGGACCCGATCTTTCTGCGGCATCTTTCGAGAGAAGAATCAAGGGTGACCACGACCAAGATGTCGCGGAATCTTGTCGATGCCGATCTTGGCCATGGTCCACGTGGGCCGTCGCCGATTCGCGAGGTCAATCCAGGAGTCGACGCTGACCGAGATAGAATGGACGTCGACCAAGATAAGCACAACGCTTCCGCGTTCAGTCTTAATCATAATTCCCGTTCTCTCCCCCTCCAGTCTTTCGAGCGAGACCGATAGGTTCGAGGCTCCTGGGGTTTGAAATCAAGCAGTGGCGGAGCACCCTGGCTCGCCTATAGGCCTACCAAAGAATGTTCTAAGAACCTTGTGTGGTTTGCACGAAATGTTCTTAGAACCTTTCTGGCTGGGACTGTCTTTTTGAAACGCATCGGGATTGTGTTCAATAATATCATTGTTGTTGTGCTTAGAACATTTCTGGGTGCCAAGAAATTTCGTGGTAGGCCTATCGTAATTCCAGGACGGTCGGTCCCTGCTCAATGAAAGGGGGCGACAGCGTTGGCGGCGAGCACGCTGCGGCGTCAGGATCGCAGGGCTCGCTGTCGGGGGGGGGGAAGGCCAGTCGCCTCGCCCGTCCGTCGGCGAAGCATCGCCGAGCCCGTGCCAGCACTGCCCCCCAGCGGGCCAATCGAGGCCTCCCAGACGGGGGAGGCGCACCCCCATGTGCAGGGAGGAGGGGGGGAGGGGTAGCAGCAGGAGAAGGAGGAGGAGGAGGAGGGGGAGGGGGAGGGGGAAGAGGAGGCGGAGGAGGAGGAGGAGGAGGAGGAGGAGGAGGAGGACGAGGAGGAGGAGGATGAAGAGGACGATGAAGGGGGAAGAGGAGGAGGAGGAGGAGGACGAGGAGGACGAGGATGAAGAGGACGATGAAGGGGGAAGAGGAGGCGGGAGGAGGAGGAGGACGAGGAGGAGGACGAGAAGAAGACGATGAAGGGGGGAAGAGGAGGAGGAGGAGGAGGGGAGGAGGAGAGGGAGGAGGAGGAGGAGGAGGAGGAGCAGGTGGATGAGGAGGAGGAGGAGAAGGAGGAGGAAGAGGAGGAGGAGGACGAGGAGGAAAAGGGGGAGGATAAGGACAATAAAAAAAGAGAAGGAGGAGGAGGAGAAGAAGGAGGAGAAGGGGGAAGAGGAGGGGGAGGAGGAGGAGAAGGATGAGGAGGAGGGGGAAGAGGAGGGGGATCGAGGGCGGAAGAGGGGAGGGCGGCCGAAAGAGGGTCCCAACAGCGCTCTCCCGCCCCCGCCCTCCGATCCCCTGCATCCAGGCCTCCCAGCTGGGGTCCGAGCCTCCTCGGAGGATCGCGCCACATCTTCCAAGCATCGGTGATGCAAATCGATGTGGAGCTCGAACTTCTCAACGCCGACGGCGCCGATGCATCGCCGACTTCGCCGGTGCATCGCCGATGCATTGGTGCTGCTGCGCGATCCCCCGTCCCCATCTACTCGGATCCCATGTAGGAGGCCTCTAGCCAAAAGGCACCCTGTTGTTTGTTTCTTCTCATTCGAGCACTTGTTGACCAATTCAAGACGAAGGTTTTGTGTCGTTGTCTGCCTCTGGGGCCCTTGCCAACCCCCGTGCAGGCCACAAGGGCAGAAAACTTGTCCCCGAGGAGTGGTCCAGAGTTCTGGGGCCTCAGCATGGAAACAGCACAGAAGCCAGGGTGGGGCGGAGGATGAGGAGAATGAGGAGGAGGAGGAGGAGGAGGAGGAGGAGGAGGACAAGGAGGAGGAGAGAGGAAGGTCTGAGCCGGGCAGGGAGGACGGGGTGGCGCTGCCGAGGAGCGGCGGCACGCTTGCCCGCGCCTGCCGCGCCGCCGCCTCGGTGCGCCGTGCGCCGCGGAGGTGCACTTCCTGCCCGGCGTCGTGGAGCTCCTCCTGGAGGCAAGCGCTGTGGTTCAAGCAGTGGTGGAGCGTCTTCGCTCGCCTAGATCGGGGGCGGAAAAGAGGGAGGTGATGACTAGGGAGGGGTGGATATCATGGCGGGGGCTGTGATATTTCCCCGGATTTCATGGTGCCTCTTCTTGTTTCAGTAAGTCCCTGGCCCCCCCGCTGGGCCGCGCACATGCCGCCGGTCATGATTTTCCCCCCCCCCCCCTCTTGGACGCCCCCCTCTTGGCCGCCCCCGACTATAGCCCTACCGAACAATGTTCTAAGAACCTCTTGTGGCTCCCACGAACTGTTCTTAGAACATTTCTGGCGGAGTCTGTCTTGCGTTATCACATCGGGCTTATGTTCTGAGAACACTGTTTTTCCTTAGAACATTTTTGGGATTCTAAGAATGCTTCGCTGTAGGACTATAGGAATGCCGGGACGGTCGGTCCCTGCTCAAGTGGTGTGCCAACCCACTTTAGCCTTGATCACCAGAGAGATTTTCGAGCACAAAGAAAGTGCTGAAGCTCGAGGGTTTTCACGTGTCGGGCCCTGGGAGACACTCGCCCGACACTTTTCTGGGTGCTCGAAGTCATGTTTGGGAGGTGGTCCTTAAGTACGATGGGAGCAACATATGGCAAGCACTAAGTCGGGCGTGTCCCTTTACAGGAGGAGGACTCAGAAATCGTCAAACGTCTGGGGACTTATTGTTTGCTGCTTTCCTCACGATGTTTGAGTATTTTGGTTAGGCTATTCTTGATTGTTCGCTCAAGATCCGCCTGTAGGAGGGCGTGCCCGGCCTGAGCCTCGCCGCCGTCGTCGCCGCAGGCCGCCACGACGCCGCCGCCGCCGCAGGCCGCCGACGGGCAGGGCGTCAGGTCCGGCGCGAGCGCACCTGGCTTGACTGCCCCCCCCCCCCTTCCTCTCCTCAGCCCAGCGCTGGCGCGCGGCGTCGGGCGCTGCGCGGGCTTTCCGTGCTAGGGCATCCCGACCACGTGTGGCCACTGGGGGGGGGCCCCCCGTGTACCCAGCAGGTCCCCCTCTACACGGCAGAGGCAGGACTGAAGTTTTGGCGAATCCTCCTCTTTGTCCCTCCTTCCTCTCCTCCTCCCCCGTCCCTCCTTCCTCCCTCGTCCCTCCTCCCTCCTCCCTCGTCCGTCCCTCTCCTCCTCCCTCCTCCCTCGTCCCTCCTTCCTTTCCTCCTCCCGGCCTCCTCCTCTTCCTCTTGTTCTCGAAGAAGAGAACTCCCATGAACATGAAAGTTTTGGCGCTCCGCGCGGATTTCTTGGATCCGGGCTGGGCCCCCCCGGCGGCGCCCGCCCCTGGCGCGCTCTGCGCGCCAGGGAGGGGGGTCCCCGCGCAGATCCAAGAAATCCGCGCGGAGCGCCAGTTTATGTGTATGCAAGTTGTTCTTCTTCTATCCTCCTCCCTCCTTTACAATCGGCCCTGATTCGTGGGTGGACCCGGCCGACTCAAGGGTACCCTTGTGTCCTGTGTCTCGCGACCCACGCCTCCTGTAGTTTTCTATGCCGATGTGGCCGTCGGAAGGGTTCCATGTCCTCCCGCGTATCTGGTCTAATCAAGGCCGCCTCCGGTAGCGGCGGCCCATGCGCACGTGCACGCGCCACGACAGCGCACGCGACGGAGCGCCGAGGCGGAGAGGAGCCGCGCTCTCCTCTCCTCTGCTGTCCTCTCCCCTCCCCTTCCCTCCCCTCCCCTCTCCTCCCCTCCCCTCCCCTCCCCTCCCCTCTCCTCTCCTCTCCTCTCCTCTCCGCTCCTCTCCTCTCCTCTCCTCTCCCTCTCCTCCAACATCACACATGTGGGGCATCACAGAGAGGTACACCCCCCACTCACGTGGACTACCCACCTAACGCAACCCGGACCTCCGTGACACCGAGCCCGGCCCGCGCGGAATGGGCGTGACACCTGCATTGTGAAGACTTGCTGTCTCGGACTGATGCTTCGGTTGGTGCGTGGGCATCATCTCTGAGTGAAAATGTTGCTGTCGCCGAAGCGCCGTCGACATCCTTCATTGAGCGTGTTGTTCTCGCCTGTGCGTGGTCCACACCTCTGATTGGAAATGCTGCAGCCGCTTAGGCGTTGGCGACGTCCTTCATTGAGAATGTCGTTCTCGCCTTGGCGCCAGTCAAATGTTTGATTGGAACTGCTGCTGTCGCCTAGGCGCCCGCGACATCCTCCATTGAGTATGTCGCTCTCGCCTTGGAGCTGGCCTGATCTCGAATTGAACATGCGGCTGTCGCCCAGGTACCGGCGACATCCTTCATTGAGCATGTCGTTTTCGTCTTGGCGTTTGCCAGATCTTGCTTTAAGAATGCGGCCGTCACCTGGGCGCCGGCGACATCCTTCATTGAGCATGTCGTTCCTGTCTTGGCGCAGGCCACAGTTCTGATCGAAAATGCTGTCGCCTAGGCGCCAGCCACATCTTTCATGGAGCACAACGTTCTCGCTGTGGCGCTGGTCACATGTCTGATGAAAACTGTCGCTGTCGCGTAGGCGCCGGCCCCATCTTTCATTGAGCATGTCGTTCTCGCTGTGGCACCAGCCACATCGGATTGACATGTCGCTTTCGCCCAGGCGCCGGCCGCACGCATGATTGCGATCGTTAGTTTCGCTTCAGCGCGGGCCGCATTCTCGACTCGGAATGCGGCTTTCGCCTGGGTCCTAGGCGCAGGCCGTCCACATGACTGTGGTTATCGTTCTCGCCTCAGCGCGGGCTATGCCCTCGATTCGGAGTGCTGGTCTCGCCTGGCGCCAGACGGAACTGTGATTGTGAATGTTGTTGTCACCTCTGCCGCTTCGGCGCCAGCCATTCGCTTGATCGCGAATGCCCTTCTCGCCTTGATTAGAGAATGTACCATCGCTGGAGCGCCCGCCGCATCTTGATTGCGAACGCCATTCGCGCCGCAGATGCAGCTTCACAAGCTTGTGGGCTGCGCAATATTCCGCATCGCGGCCCCATTCGCGGCAAGTTTGGTGCCAAGGTGCTGGTTGGGTTATTTCGCCTTGAGCTATTGGTTATCGTAGTGCTGGTCACATTGGTGCTGCTCGCGCCGCTAGTAGCAGTGCTGCGCATTGCGTGGTTGGTTTCCGTCGTGCTGGTCACAGTGGTGCTGTTTCCAGTGAGGCTCCTCACAGTGGTACTCCTTCTTGCATTTGTACTGGTGCGCGTAGTACTTTTGTTTCCCGTCGGGCTGGTCGCAGTGGTGTTGCTGATGGCGTTGGTAGTGCTACTCGTTGTGTTGCGTCTTCCCTTCGTGCTGGTCACACGGGTAGTGCTGGAGGCGCTGGTGCTGCTTCTTCGCGGAAGGCTCGTCACACTGCTACTGCTCGTTGCGCTCGTGTTGGTGCACGTAGTGCTGCCGTTTCCCGCCATGCTGGTCACAGTGGTGCTGCTGGTGGCGTTGGTAGTTCTGCGCGTGGTGGTGCCGCTTTCTGTCCTGCTGGTCACTGGTGCTGTTGGTGGCGTTCGTGCCGCTGCGCTTGGAGCAGCTCAGCGATGATTACTGCTTGTTGCGTTTTTGATGCTGGTTGCACTGGTGCTGCTGGACGCGCTCGTGCTGGGGCGCGTCGTGCTGGGGCGCGCCGTGCTGTTGCTTCCTGTGGTGTTGGTCGCGCTGGCGGTGCCGGTGGCGCGAGTGGTGCTGCGCGTGGCGCTGCTGCTTCCCGTCGCGATATGTTGCAATTCTACATATGGTGGCGGCGGTGCTGCGCGTGTTGACGCTGTTTGCTGCCGCTGTGGCCACAGAGGTGCCACCGGTGGGCGCTAGCGATGGTCGCGCTACCGCAGTGCTGCTGGTGGCGCTCGCGCTGCTGGTGGTGGCGCTGCTGGCTCCTGTCGAGCTGGTCGCACTGGTGCTGCTGGTGGCGCTGGTGCTGCTGTGCGTGGTGGTGCTAGTTTTTGTCGTGGTGCTGACAGAGGCACTGCTGGTGGCGCTCGTGTTGCTGCGAGTGGTGCTGATGTTTCCTGTGGTGCTCGTCGCTGTGGAATTGCTCGTTGCGCTCGCACGTTTCCTGCTGCGCGCCCGACGCGTGGCGGCCCGCAGCCGCCGTAGCGGGCAATGGCGACGCCAGCAGCGCGGCAGCCGCCGGACGCCTTTGACGACGACGGTGGGAGGGCGCTGCCCATGGGCCGCTGCCAGGTTACACGCCGTTGCTGGCCGGGAAGGGCGCCGGTGCTGGGCGCTGGATCTGCTGGCTGGGACGGGCGGCGGCAGGCGGCGGGCTCACGACGAGCCGCTACCCCGTCTTCGCGCTCGGCGTGGCGGTCCAGGGTGGCGCTGCTACTACAGGTCCCAGCTGCCGCACCCCCCGCGCCCTGGGAGCGACCGCCGTTCGGGTTTGGGCAGAGCAGCAGTTGCTCCAGGAGCGGGGCTCGCACCTTCCAGCCAAGCTTCGCACGGACGGACTGCGCATCTTTGCCCTGGGGCGTCTCCAGCGTACAGCGCAGAATCGAACGATCCGGGCGGTGACGCTTTGCGCTGGAGCGCGGGAGCGCTTCGGCCTCGCCGGCGGGGGGTATGGGGTGTTTGCGCAGTCCAGCGCAAATTTTCTGGTGCTTCTGGTTCTGGTGTCAGTGCTGGTGGTGCTGGAGCTGCCTCGCGTTGCGCTGCTGCTTCCCGTTGTGCTCGTCGCAGTGGTGCCGCTATTGGCGCTCTTGCTGCTGCGCTTGGCGCCGCGCTCGCTGTCGTGCTCGTTGCAGTGGTGGCGCTGGCGGCGGAATGCTGCTTCGTGTGGTGTTGCTGCTCCCCGTCGCGGTCGCCATGCTGGAGCTGTTCGTGTCGCTAGTGCTGTTGTGTGTGGCTGTGCTGCCTGCTGCCGCGCTGACCGCATATCTACTACTGGCGTCAATGTTCCCAGTGCTGCTCGCAGTACTACTGGTGGCGGCGCTGGTGCTGCTGCAGTGCTCACATCGGTAGTTTTGCTGGTTGCGATAGAGCTGATACGCTTCGTACTACTGGTTCCCACTGTGCTAGTCAAGGTGGTGCTGCTGG